ATGTGCCACCACCGATCATGATACCGACTCTTGTCCCGTGATAGAGAATGAAATCGGGGCACATGCGAATGCAGTCGGTACAAATGGGAACTTTCCCAGGAAGCAACAATATGATCCATTCTCGAGTACATATAATCCCGGTTGGCGCGATCACCCACACTTGAGGTACGGGAACTCATTTTACCAGCAGCCTGGCCAGAACCATGGTGGGAGTTTCTAGCAACGTCCTCCTCAATTATTTCGCAGACAAGCACCACCCGAGCAGCCCCCAAGTACTGATTCTGGCACCTCTCTAGAAGACATTGTGAAGCAACTAGCCTCCAGCACTCTACAATTTCAAAAGGAAACCAAAGTTAGCATACAGACCCTTGAAACTCAAGTAAGTCAGCTCGCAACCTCTGTGAATCGTTTGGAGGCACAAGCTAGTGGAAAGCTCCTATCTCAACCTGAGGTGAACCCTAAGAATGTGAGTGCCATGATCTTAATAAGTGGAAAAGAGTTGGAGCAGATACAGAAAAATTCACACGCACATCAGTTTGAAGCAGCAGGTTTGGATAACCAACATGGCCATGTCGCTGACCATGTTCATAGTACAACTGAACTGGAGAAAGAAACTGAACTGGGAGCTGAAGAGAGGAGCAAGAAGGCTAAGAAGAAGCTGACCAATTCCGAGTATAAGCCTGAACCACCTTTTCCACAGGCATGGGTTCGACATGAGAAAGACGGGCCTATCCGAGATATTTATGAGACGTTTCAAAGATGCGAGCTGAACATCCCGTTGCTAGATGCCATCAAGCAAGTGCCCCGCTACGCAAAATTTTTGAAGGAGTTGTGTACTGTCAAGCGCAAACAACAACTCAAACGCCATGAGAAAGTTAAGGTAAGTGAGAATGTCTCCGCTGTTTTACAACGGAAGCTTCCCACGAAATGTAAGGACCCAGGTATGTTCTCGATTCCTTGTGTCATTGGTGGAATTCATTTTGAAAGAGCTATGTTGGACTTGGGAGCTTCTATTAATGTAATGCCATATGCGATTTATAGTTCTTTGAAGCTCGGACCCTTAAGTCCAACAGGAGTTGTCATTCAATTGGCGGACAGGTCCAATGCATTTCCGAAGGGTTTGGTCGAGGACGTTCTTGTTCAAGTTAAAGACTTGGTTTTTCCAGCAGATTTTTATGTTCTTGATATGGGGAATAACAATGCTGCTACTCCTATTTTACTTGGAAGACCTTTTCTAAAAACGTCTAAAACCATGATTGATGTGCATAATGGAATTCTTACCATGGAATCTGATGATCAATTTATCAAATTTAATATATTTAATTCTATGAAGTATCCTGGTGATGATGAATCTGTACTATCTGTTGACTTGGTTGATAATTTGGCTCAGGAAATTTTGTCACTTTCAGAGGATAATACCGTGGGCGACACCATTAGGACTTTAGCAGACAACTCACTGCCTAGCATTGCCCCAGGTCAAGCCAATGAATTGGACAATCACGTGATCATGGATGATGGCTTAGAGACCAAGGGTAAAGGAGAAGAGAACACATTTCCGGTGATCATTTCGAGCAAGCTTACCAAAACTCAAGAAGAAGAGCTCGTGAAAGTTCTCCAGTCACACAAGCAAGCGTTGGGTGGACTATCTCGGACATAAAAGGAATAAGCCCCTCGATTTGCACGCATCACAT